GTCATGTCAGACCTGTCATCGTCCACTTTGGACGTGCCATGGCCGTTGGAACATTGGGATAGTGGGCGAGTTTTGCTCACGCGGCATTGGGCAAATGCCATGCCTATTACCATTGGGACCATCTATGGCTTTGCTCAAGGGCCAACATGGCCAAAAGCCAGGCAGCTGACTGATCAACTGCTTGAAACTTTCACCACAGAGCTGGTCCTGGGGATGAGTGGTGTCAGATTGATCATGGGGGACTTCAACCAGAACCCAGGACAATTGACACAACATCAGATCTGGATGAGACATGGCTGGCAAAATGCACAGGATGTTGCTGCTCAGTTGTTCAACCATGAGGTTGTCCCGACATGTAAGGGAGCCCATGAGAGAGATCAGGTTTGGCTTTCACCGGAAGCAATCACTTTGCTGCGCAATTTGAAGGTGACAGAGGACTTCCTGGATCACTCTACAGTCTCCATCAACTTGCAAATCCCTGAGAAGGAGGTTTATGTCCATAGATGGCCACGACCTGCCAAAATTCCATGGGAGCATATTGATACCAGCAATTGGAACCCAACCTGTTCCACCAGCTTCACATCTCAGCAAGATCCTACAGTGTTTTTGCGAAACTGGGCCCATGATTTTGAACATGCGTTAGTACAACATGCCACTGCCACTGGTGGATTCACTTTACCAAATAGGTGTCAAGGACGTGCTCAACGCCTCACCCCTGTGAAGCAGACTCTTTCTACACCAACATGCAAAGCCAGCCGTGACGGTGAAGTTCGCATCACAAACTCTACGGCTGGTACTGCAACTAGGGTTTGGTTCAAGCAGTTGAGAAGGCTTCAAAGTTTGAAACATGCAGTGCAGGCGGCAAAAGACACACCTGCCGCGATCACATACAGGATCGAGCTCTGGAATGCCATCAAGAAGTCCCAGGGCTTTGTGCCAAATTTTGATACCTGGTGGAGCTCAAGGACTCACCAGATTGCCGGGGTTCCTCAGACATTGCCCCAGGCAGTTCCACTCGAATCGACAGTGGTGCAGGCCGTCTATGATAGCTTCTTGCTGCACTTTCGGGCCTTTGAGGCATGGCACCTCAATGAACGTTCCAGAAGCCTGAAATCAAAGTATGAGGGATCTCTTGAGGCTATCTACATGGACCTGCGCCCTGATCCACGACCGGGAGTCCAAACTCTCTGGAAAGAGGAGCACTACACCATTTTGGCTGTAGATGCGGAAAGCCAACAAGTTCATCTTGACAAGGATGTACAGCAACATGGTGATTCTGTTTGGCTTCATGATCAGCACATGCTTAATGTCATCACTCACTCTGGAGACATTTGCACAGTTTCGTCTTCAGAACATTTGATGGTTGGTGATGAAGTTACCCAGCGGATTTTTCTGACAGGCGTTTCAGACATACTCCAAGCTTTTGAAGCGCATTGGACACCAAGGTGGAGCATTCTGGCGCAAATTCCTCCAGCTGACTGGCAGCGCATTGTGGACGTTGCAAGTCACTACATGCCATCCTTCAACTTTCAGTGGGAGGAACTCAGTCTGCCTAGTTGGAGAGCCATGATCAGAAAATTCAAGCGTAAGGCAGCTCGAGGCCCTGATGGATTTTCTGGTGAAGACCTCAAGCATATGCCGGATGGATATGCTCAACCTTTGCTGGACTTGCTTCAATCCATTGAGCAAGAGGATACAGCTTGGCCTCAACAGCTGGCCTTCGGCACGGTGATCGGGCTGAGCAAACAAGATGGAGCGCATGAAGAAGGTCACTTCAGACCGATCACCTTGTTTCCAACAATTTACAGAGCCTGGGCAAGACTGCGCACAAAGCAGATGATTTTGCAGATGTCCAAGTATATTCCACCTGAAGCACTGGGATTTCTACCACAAAGAGAAACCACCGAAGTATGGATGATGTTGCAGGCACAAATTGAGTTGATGGTTCAGATGCACATGGACTATGCTGGACTTTCTACAGATTTGAAACGTGCTTTCAACCACATAAGCAGGAACCAAGTTTTCCTGATTGCGAAGCATGTTGGATTGCCACACCAACTGTTGAGGCCTTGGCAGAAATTTCTCAACACCTTTGTGCGTAGATTTGATGTGCATGGATGTTTGGGCACGGCACTTACGTCGTCATCAGGTTTTCCAGAGGGATGCCCTCTGTCAATTCTGGCTATGCTCAATGTTAACTGGTGTTACCACATTTACATGCGAGCGTTTTGTCCAACAGTGGTTGCATACAGTTTTGTAGACAACCTTACTTTAGCAGCACGAGATGCACTTGCAGTGATCCATGTTTTTTTTGCTCTACAGTCTGTTTGCCTGCTATTTGGCCTGATGACGGACGCATCTAAGACGTACGTATGGGCATTGTCTAAGTCATCCAGGGCTTTGATTGGACAGCTGGGATTTGACTGTGTCACTGATGCAAGTGAACTTGGTGGTGCAATGACATTTGGCCGCAGTCGGCGAACTCGATTGTTACGCCAACGAGGTTCCAAATTGCATGCCAGGTGGACGAAGTTGAGACGCTCCCAAGCACCTGGACCACAGAAAATGTCAGTGCTATCTAAGGTGTTTTGGCCTCAAGCACTGCACGGCTCAGCCAACTGTCTCATTGCTGAGACTTACCCCATGGAACTGAGACGTGAAGCCACCAAAGCACTTGGTATCAATGGAGCAGGAGTCAATCCAGTTTTACGCTTATCACTTGCGGATGACATGCGTAGTGACCCAAGTTATTACCAACTCCATCTCTGCCTTTCGACTTTCAGACGTATGCTGCAGAAAAGCCCTGATTTGCTTACTATGTGGCGAATATGGATGAGCAATTATGATGGGTATCTTATTCCTGGGCCCTTTTCCAAACTTATGCAGTGCTTTCAGATGGTTGGTTGGTCAGTCATTGACCCACCGATGGTAGCTGATCATGAAGGTTTGTCATGGAACTTGATGTATCTGGACAATAAAACCCTGAACACTGTTTTGGAAGATGCCTGGCTTCAGTACGTTGCAGCGGGTGTTCGTCACAAGACGATGTCAGATTTGCGGGGCATGGATGGTTTCCTTACGAAGTTGGGCAGCACTAAGATGTCTACTCTGGATAGAGCACGTCTTGCAGCTCTGCACTCAGGAGCATTTATCAGCAGATATGAACACTCCAAGTATGACACTGAAAAAACACCAATGTGTGCACTTTGTCAACTGGAAGATGATCGTTTGCACTGGCTTGTCTGCCCGCGGTTCCATCACATTCGTTGCTCTATTCCGGACTGGTGCCCTGATAATGTGGAGCTGCCCAGATGCACTTTGCAGCATCTACTGGTCCCACGGCAGGACGTGATGACTGAGTGGCGAGCGCTCTTGAGTGAACCGGAGGAAGATGGCATATCTTTTTTTGTTCCTGCCCCCACAACTGGTTTCCAACACTTGTTTTTAGATGGTTCTTGTATTCAAGATTTGTTTCCTGTGCTAAATAGGGCTGCATGGGGTGTTGTTAGTGCCACAATGGAACAAGTGGTTGCCATGAGCCACCTAAAAGGGGCCACACAAACCATAGACAGAGCCGAGCTGACTGCGCTGATTGCAGCGCTTCACTGGACTTCTGGCACTGAATTGGAGGTATGCCTTTGGTCGGACTCTCAATCCACGATAGCGGTGGCTGAGTTTATTCAACGGCATCACATGCTACCGGATGGGGTTGAGAATGCGGATCTTTGGGTTCAAGTTCTTGACCTTCTACAAGACAGGGGCACACTATTCACTGGTTTTCGCTGGATTCCTTCACATCTCCCTGCGGAGGTTGCCGAGGACTCTTTTGAGGAATGGGTCATCAAGTGGAATGATGCAGCAGACAGGCTTGCAGTGTTTGCCAATACTGCTCGTCCTATGGAACAACGCCATTGTCTTGTTCGGGCACAGGCGATTCTTTCTGGTTGGGCCAAGAGGCTCAGACAACTGCAGCAGTTTTACTTCCAGGTGGCAGAATTCACAGGAGATGAAGAGGCGATACCAGACCATGTTAGTGTTGTTTCCTCTGAATCTGAAAATGATGGGCTCTGGTTCTCATGGGCAGACTCACTACCCATCAACTGGAAGGTACAATGTCAGCATGGTGGCAAGAAGGTGCCAGGAGACTTTTTGGTCTCTGTCGTGGAGTGGGTTTGTGCTGCTGAGAGACTTGAAGGAACCGTCAGAGAAATCAACGAAGTTGAATTAGTTTTTGCATTTTTGCTGGATAGGGAATTCAAGTTCCCCTTCTCAATCGATGGTTCGTTGAAGCTGCGCATGCGTTGTCCAGATTCTTTGTTTCAACAACCAACACTTGCAATGATGCTTAGGCCAGTTCAGTATGCTTTGGCTGAACTGCACAAGCTTTTTCCACATGTTGTGATGCAGACAGTGCCACTGAACCGGGTATCCCTGGGTTTGTACAAGAAATTTGCCGGTCTGAGAATCCATATTCCAGACAATTTGTGGTCACTTGTCCAATCACGTGTACAATCTTTTACAGCTACTAGAGCTGTGCGAAGGGCGTGTGACTTGGCTCGCCCGGCCTAAGACAAGGACTTGTTGCGGCCGCACTGCATTGCCGTGCGTCGCAGCACCCAAATCAGTCCGAGCTATATGTATGTATGTATGTATGTATGTATGTATGTATGTATGTATGTATGTATGTATATATATATATATTATCTTATCTTATATAGGAATCAACAGACCTGGGGCTATAAACATGCTTACACCATACCAGACACAGGAGATCATCCCATCCCTGGATTCTCCAAAAGCAGCTGGGATGTAGTGCCTGGACCAAATGGCATAGACCCATGTAGAACCAAAAGTTGAGATGCAGCCCAACCTCAACAGTAAGACCGTTGGAGATTAGCCATAATTTTAGTATTATCCCACATGGCACCACCTGTGATTAACGGCATACAGCTGCGTCGCGGGTTTTCTCCGCGACGCACACGGCTGTCGAGGGTTTTGCGCTACTCAGGTCTCACAGGCAGCTCGCTCTTGGTCCTTCCGGGTGGTGAAGCCCTCAGCAACTGATAAAACATGAGCTGCTAGTAGTTCTTCTCTATTGATGGATATTGATGGCTATCCTGCAACAATCATTATCGAATTCTGTTCAGTGGCTAACTGGATAACCCAGCCTTTGATCCTTGCAGTGGCGATATAGCATCACCACTTCGTGATGACACATTGCTGCATCTTTCACCTCATTCCACTGACGCCAACATATACCCGGAAGGGGAAATTCCACGGAATGTGGTAATATGATTAATATGTGGTTTATTTGCGCTTCTTAATCATTACTATCATGGTTCATGCTGGCTGAGAGCGCATGCTGGCTGGAAGCATTGAGTTACCCAGGACGAGGTCCTTACCATCCGATTTGAGGGCCGTGTCATCGACCATCCAAGCAATGCGCATTTTTGCAATGTTCAAAAGCTGCTGCTTAGATTAAAAGGGAGGATAATGGATGATGATTGTTCCCTGCACATTTAAAAATGTATTGGTATTGATATTGGGTATCGTATAAGCCCCTATCATCAACCAACGGGGTTAGTATGGGTTAGTCACTGCTCAAGTCGCAAATTTTAATGGTTCCGCGGTCCAATAACTGGAAGACGACATGCAGTCTTCCCAGCCTGACGACTGCATGGGGCTGATACCAGAGAATCCAAAATCTGAAAGAAAACGACTTATATCACTTATAAACTTATATGTAATATATAGTAATTGAAATAGGGGAGTAAAACTTGAAGATTAAAATTCGGAAAATGTAACTGTCACGGCTGACTTTGGTAGTGATGGAAGACTGGAAGAGGCTTCATCAATCGAGCTGCGTGGTTGGACTTTTCTCGAAAATCGCGGCAGCAGCGACTTACCACCTCCTTCAGCACACCATGGGAATGCATCAGCTTATCATTCTCAACCTCGTCCATCCTGAGGAGCACCGGGGAAAACCTTGCTGAAGTGTGAGCACCTGGGTACCATGCTATAACTGCCACAATCCGTTTCATCAAATTGGCTCAGCTGTCTTCAAGCGCCGTCCCTATTTCAGCTCCAAGAGCACCAGGGTTTACAGTAGCAAACTGGACCCATTACAGCCAAGATCCATTGACCCGGTTGTACTCCCTTCTCTCAGATAGCATCAATCTGTTAGCTGGGTATTGTGCTGATGGCATGTCAAGAGCATCTTCCACAAGCCTATTTCCATCACCAAGCAGCCAATGATCATAGCATCTTGTGCGCAGCTCTTTCCACAGATCCTGGAGAAGAAAACAAAAACGCCACACAACGAGGGCCCCTTACAAGTCACAAATGGAGCCGAACCTCCAAAAAGAGAGAAAAGCTATTTACCACTTTTCAGCAGAATTTGACTTTTCTAATTTCTCTTTGGAGCTTGCTATGACCGACTTCAACCCCAGACAGGGGTGGTTACAACAACTACAACTTATGGTGGCGTCTCATCGCCCTGCCGTCCCGCTAAAAAAATGCCCAGCAAAACCCAGCTGAAGCCAAGCTATGCCAAGCTTCACACATGTGACGCTGCTGATGCACCGTCAAGCGGCTCATGAAGGTTTCTCTCTCCACCTGCCGCCCCGAAATATATCAAGTGGCCTTTGATTGTCTTTGATTTGAAGCCCTTGCGATTTGGGAAGGGCAACTGAGTGTAGACATGATATCCAGAACCATGGGGAAATCATTCCTTTTAGGTTACCCTGCCATCACCGCGACCTGCCATCACCAGGATCGCTCGCCTTCTGGCCGGTCTTGTAGCCCAACTCCTCAAGCAGAGCCTCATCCCTCTGGTAGGGTTGCCCGGGCTCCATGGCGCGAAAACGGCCCAAGAAGCAGAGTGGATTGCCACCCAGGGCAAAGGGGTAACATTGGGTAAAAAATGACCAAAATCATCCAAAATCCACCAAAATCTGCCGGGGACCTGTGATGCTCGGCCTATGCTAATTGCCATGGATCTCTACTTGGCGCTTCTGAGCCAAGAGCCGAGGGATGTCACAAGACCAACCCCTTTGTCCTAAGAAGCCTTCTTCAGTCCCATATCGGGTGCCTTTCTTGTAAGGTGAATGATATTGAAATGTTCACTGGAACATACTGAAACCAAGAATAGCTGGTTGGAGGAAATATTTAAAACAAATGTATCTATATTATAATTCATCCATTTGTTTGTTTTTGCAGATTTGCTTGAAGGGAAGCTGCACCAGTGTCAATATTGCCTTGAAAGAAGTGCACTTGCAAACCCCACGTCCCGAGCAGCCAGCTTGCAAGATTTTCACGTGCCACAAGTGGGCCAATCGATTTGGCATTTTGATGCCAGTACCGCACAAGGCGAAAACTCATCAGGTCATGGTACCTGAAAGGTGAGGGAAATCATGGGAAATCCTAGGTGCTGGAGTCATCAATGGGTGCTAGCGCTTCAGATCAAATGGGCATGACTCTTGTGGAGATCCATCTCCTCAATTCTTCATTGCTAACATTCACGCTTTGACATATTTTTGAAAATGATCATATATTTATATATATGTGTGTGTGTACATATATATATATATAAATATATATATATATTGTATATATATATATTGTATATATATATATATTGTATATATATTGTATATATATATATTGTATATATATATACAATATATATATATATATATATATATATTGTATATATATATATATATGTGTGTGTGTGTGTAATTATATATGTGTACATGTATATTAACGAAGCCTCCCTGGTGCTAACATCCCCAAATCACCACTTGCTCCGCGCCACGCCTTGCGAATATGGATGACTTGTCGCTGTCAATCAGAGTCCTGACGCGGGCCGCGCTTGGGGTGACCAGGATGCAGGGACAGGCTCCGACAGGCTGCACGAAGCAGCCGACCTTTTTCTCCAATGGTACCGCGGCTCGGGTAGCACAAGGGGCACGCAGATCGCATATCGTCACAGACCATGTATGAAAACACCAGCAAGACAGCAAGATCACCCTCCAAAGTCTAGTGAAGCTGCCAGTCACATGGGCAATATCCTAAAATGTTCGCACAATGCTCCATTGCTAACCCAATGGCCACGCATCAGCATGTCTGGAAGCATTTGGGAGGTCAAAATTCTTGGAGACAACATCGCCATCGTTGCGTGCCAGCCTTCCGAGGCACCAAGGATCTCCGAGGCGTGGGTCAAAGTTGAGACCTCACAAAATAATCTTGAAGAATGATTTGAAAAAGATCCAAGTAGTTGTTTTCACATGGAATCCTGCTGGCTCAGGAGGCCCCACACGTTTACCCACACCGCGCTGGCCATGGGCCAAGCTAGGAGATAAAATATGAGATATGGTGAACTGGTGAACCCCCGGGAAAGGCAACCGCCGGGAAGGCTTCCGAGCCTCCTGCTTGCATCAATTCCCAGGGGCTCACCTTTCGCCCATTGGGACATCGTGGACGGAGATGTTATCCTTTTCCACCATTGATCTCTCTCTATATCCTTCACTGCAAAATATCCTGTAGAATCTGTGCAGGGCTTATGCAGCACACTTTTCAGAGAGATCAGGGTCAGAGCACCAATAAGCCACGATCAATGTGGCTCCGGTCTGCAAATGCTTTCTGAAATCACTTCTAAACTCTGCCAATTGAATTTAGCCTCGAGGGAATGTGGGCATCAAGCACCGTAAATCTTCCTCAAAACTGATGTGTCTTTTTCCTTTTTGAGGAGCACTGTGAAGAATCAACATTAAAAGTAATCTAATAATTAAATTATATAAACAAGAAAAAACACCTCTTAGCTGATTTGGGTTAATACTCCTGTTTAAGACAAATCTCAGTGCTATTCCGAGGGGATCACTGCGCAATCTGTCCCTGCTTTGTGCGAAGCCATTCCCTCGACCGAGAAAATCCGCACCCTGAACTCTTCAATGGGCGAGAATAAAAGAACACTGCTTGGGTGCGGCAACCCTGTCAGCAGTGAATTTTCGATCATAGTCTCACTCATCATCAAGAATCAGCTTCACAGGGATGGAATGAAAAAGAACTGGATGCTTCAGAAATTGCCAACACCCAATACGTTCAGTTCCTTGTGGGCGGCAGTTTGCCGGTCACAGAACCGGAAGGTGGCGGAAGGCGTCTTGGATCAGTGCACACCTGAAACCACCAACTGGTTTACCTTGCTTGCATATTAATTAGTCATTCAAGATTGAGAATCCTCATTTTCGATGTAGCGAATTCATCATCAAATTGGCGGGTAGACTCCGGGTAGACGGCTTGGCGCATTTGACCCGATCTCTAACCGGTCCAAAGCTCTGGAGTGCACTGAACCTTGAGAACGTCATCGCCTCTCGGCATTTATCACGTGAATTCTGGTGAGCCCAGCCTCGATGTAAATGGCGAACTATTGGGAACTGATGTTTGGTGGCAAGGTTGACCGTTGATCCATACCCAAATAATCCGGAAATAACAGTGATTGACGCAAACACATATCTCTACAACTTGAAGTGTTTTTCATTTGCAATTTCTGTGGGAATCACGAGCTTTGGCATGGGCACACAAGTTTCTTAGCTGCGCCGCGAGGTCGACAGTCGTCTTTTAACCCTTGGGTCAAAATTTTAAAATGGGTGCAGTTTTTTTTGTTATTTTTTTTATGTTTTTTTGGTTTTTCAGTCTGGGGCATTTGTCCTTGCTATTTGCTACATTTTGGAGCAAAAACCTGCACTTTGCTGAATTTTGGAGCTAAAAATTCCCATTTGCACTGTTCATCGATTGTTGAAGCGCAACCGTGTTGGGTCTAAATAGTGTCATTGAATGCTATCATAGCGTTGGTTGGTTTAGGGTTTATTTAGGGTTGGTTTAGGGTTGGTTTTAGGGTTGGTTTAAGGTTTATTTAGTGTTGGTTTAGGGTTTATTTAGGGTTGGTTTAGGGTTTATTTAAAGTTGGTTTAGGGTTTATTTTGGGTTGGTTTAGGGTTATTTAGTTTAGGATTGGTTTAGGGTTTATTTAGGGTTGCTTATGTCGGGTTGGTTTAGGGTTTCTTTAGGCTTGGTTCAAAGTTTGTTCAATGTTTATTTAGGGTTGGTTTAGGGTTTATTTAGTGTTGTTTAGGGCTATTTAGGGTTCTTTAGGGTTGGTTTAGGGTCTATTTAAAGTCTGTTGAGGGTTGGATTAAGGTACATGTAAGGATACAAGGTGTGTATATAAAGATAGATAGATAAATAGATAGATAGATAGATAGATAGATAGACAGGCAGATAGATAGATAGATAGACAGGCAGATAGATAGATAGATAGATAGATTAGATAGATTAGATAGATTAGATAGATTAGATAGATTAGATAGATTAGATAGATTATATAGATTGGATAGATTGGATAGATTGGATAGATTGGATAGATTAGATAGATTAGATAGATTAGATAGATTAGATAGATTAGATAGATTAGATAGATTAGATAGGTTAGATAGGTTAGATAGATTAGATTGATTAGATTGATTAGATTGATTAGATTGATTAGATTGATTAGATTGATTAGATTGATTAGATTGATTAGATTGATTAGATTGATTAGATTGATTAGATAGATTAGATAGATTAGATAGATTAGATAGATTAGATAGGTTAGATAGGTTAGATAGATTAGATAGATTAGATAGATTAGATAGATTAGATAGATTAGATAGGTAGATAGATAGATCGATGGATGGATGGATAGATAGATAGATAAATTAGATAGATTAGATAGGTTAGGTAGATTAGATGGATTAGATAGATTAGATAGATCATATTAGATCGACAGATCAGATGGATTAGATAGATTAGACAGATAAGATAAGATTATATTCTATATATATATATAGGTTGGATTAGATTAGGTTAGGTTAGACTAGGTTAGATAGATAGATAGATAGATAGGTAAAGCATGGTAAAGCCACAAAAGCCACAGAAGCCACAAAAGCCAGGCTGGAAAACAAAAAACAAAACAAAAAAGAAATAGCCCTCCTTTTAAAATCCCCACAGCGTCCCTTGTCACTTGACCTGACCGAAGCAATGACCTGGTCCAATTTTGACCCAACCTACGGCTGTATGATGGTTATATGCACGAATTAGCAAAGAGTTCCACTAGCGCTGCCATCAGAAAGCTTGGAAAGGATGGACGCTGAGTACATGATGGCTGTTTTCCCACGTCCATCTCGTTGCTTCGGGTTGGCACCAAATTTCATCAACAGATTCATGATCTGGAAGTTGCCCTCCTTGGCCGCAACATGCAAAGGATAGGTGCGGCTGAAGCCCCACCAAGTGGTCTTAGCAGCATTCACATCACTGGAATCAGCGAACTCATGATCTAGTAGAAATTCTTGGACCTGCTTCCACCTTAGCAAACGACGGTCAGAGGGGCTGTCACCTTTTCAAGGCGATGAAGAATCCCCGGCAGTGGGAATCATCATCGCATTTTTGGGGTTGTATAATATCCCAAGAAATTTTGAAACCACAATTCCTTCCGGAAAAAACAAACATCAAGAGCCCAGAAGAGTCCAGAAGACAAACAAGAGACTCCCGCTCACAACGAGTCCGCTGTCGTTCTTCCTGTTTCTTCATCTCCCGCGCCTTCTCTGCTTTGACTTTTTCGGCTGCGGCGATCTGATATCCGGTGCAACGGATGCAGGGGGGTCCATCCACCAACTTGCAGCGACCCCCGATCTGATCAAACACGAATTTGGCCATGGAGGAAGACGCTCAGGTGAACGGGATTCTGGGCTAGATGCCTCAAAATGACTGCGAAGCCGGCAGAAAGTCAAGTAGAAAAATCACATGAAAGTGAAACCAGGTTAGGTTCATGATGCTCACGGCACTAGGTGATACTGATCCCATTTCCTCCAGCAGCTCCTCAGGGAAGTCCAGCAGCTTCTGACGGATACGCGAGGCAACAGCGCTCCTCACCGCAATGACTAGCAGCTTACATGGTACCACAGTATCGCCAGGATCACCCTGGCAGCAGCTTGACTCTCTGGGGAAAATAACAACTTCAGGACTTGGGAAGTCAAAATACTCCTTTCTTCATTTAGAAATTCAATAGGGAATGATGTCTTGTTTGGTAAACCCAATAATAAACATGAAATTTCGGATGATTTATCCCACCCAATTCTGGAAAAATCGAGGATGGTGTTGGGTTTATCACATTTTTGACCACCGATTTCAGCTCAGACTTGCCACGGCCGGGCTCGGCTCGGATCGGCTCCAGTTCTTCACATCAATCGGTGGCTCCTGCACAGATTCAAAGCTGGATGGCTGGAGGATCAACCCGTAGTAGATCATGTGTATACACGTCTAAGTATGCCAAAGGCATCTCATATCATATCATGTCATATCATATCATGTCATATCAATATATGTACACATGATCCCGTGTCTCGTGTTCACGGCCGCCCCCATATGGTATGGGGGGTTACCCTCGGCCCACGCCCACTACGTCCACGAGGGGGATACATAGACAAATACATACACAAATACATATACATACTGTACATATTTGCACATACACACTCATGTATGTATGCGTGTATATATATATATATATATATATCCTACTTAGATATATACGTAGATATATATGTATATATATATACATATCATATTTATATATATATATTTACATCTATATATACATACATACATACATACATACATACATACATGCATACATACATACATACATACATACATTACATACATATATATATATATATATATACATAGAGAGAGAGAGAATTAGCTATATATATGTATATAACTAGCTTTATATATATATATATATATTCATATATATATATACCGTATAACTTATATATACATTTAGATACACACATACATGCTTTTATAATCTTATATATGTCCATATACATTAGGGACCATCACCATCTCGGGGGGAAGGGGGGACAACCAGACACCTTGGGCCATTTATATACATATAAATAATCATACATATATATATACATTTCTATAAAATCATATAATATAATATATATATATCTCATGCAGTGTGTCATTGTCTGTGTCTATGTCTGTGTCTATGTCTATGTCTATGTATGCATGTATGTTCGCATGTGTGTGTGTGTGTCTCTGTGTGTTTATACGATTTATATTTTTGTGTGCGTTTAGATTTATGTATGTTACTATTTGCACATATATGATAGTGTCTGTATAATTCTGCATGTATGTATGTGTGCTATATGCGCACATATACTCCATTCTGGTCCATAAAGGCTGGTCTTAGTCTCCCTTGTTTGATTGCCAGATAGTGTTTAAATCCGTTTTTGGGGTTTCAAGGCACAGATGAAGACATGATGAAACAAGCAACCCCTTCCAGAGGTAAGAAGAAACCGAGATATTCTAAGAACTGTGAACACGAAACAGTGATTCGCAGAATTTGGAAAGGAAAATCTGCAGGAAAAACCCTTAATTATTTCATGGCAAAAGCCGTCAGTTTCCTAAGTTCCGTTCATCCATACCCAATGAGCGAAAGGTTCCCATTACCGGGCTCTTGCCACCTCGAAATCGTCGTCGCTGTCTGCGGCAGCCAAACTCTCGAAGATCTGGCCGAGAATTTGGTCATGGGGGGGAACTACAGAACCTCCAAAACCCCCCCAATAAAAACGTAGGGTTGATGAAAAACATCAGGTTCTGGGCTCAAAGATGATATTGTCGAAAATCGTTTGAACCGAAGAAATAGTTGAGGGTGAGGTTTGCACAGATTAAACAAGGGTTTAGCACGATTAAAGTAGGGGTTTTGCACGGTTGCATTTGTGAAACACGATGTTCTCTTCCTGAACACGATGCGTCCAATGTGTTTGATAAATTCTCCAAAGGCCTTACGTCCAACGAGACTCCATGACTCGACATTGATCTCCTGTCATGGCTCCATGTTATGGCTCCATCAGTTTGGTTTGGTGCACCGCTTCAGTTTTGCGTCCCATTTTTGTAAGCCGTAAAACTTGTAAAACAAGCTTGAGAACAGCAGAGTCTAGAGATGTCTAGAGTTGAAGTTTTAATCCTCCTCTTGGTTCTAAATGAAGGCTGTTTCGCAGAGTTCAACATGCTAAACTTTCTTTAGAAACTAAACATGTTCTGAAAACCTTCCGAAGTTCCTGAAGAGTTCCCGAACTCAAAATGGATCCAGCCGTCCCATGCCATCCGTATGTCTCCTCACGCTCATTTGTCTCACTGCGGGCCGTGTCTGCAGTGCTGGCGCTGTCGCTGACATCCTGGCATGGGATCTGCTGCAATGACTCCAATGCATATACATCAGGCTCTCAGGTGCATACAGGATATGAAGTACTGTAATATGAAATAAGTATAATGGTATAATGATACGAGACCATATGAACATGCAGCTGCACATGTCAGGTACTCCGACAAATGCATCTGCTACTATATCTATTTTTATTTATTTATCATTATTTATCTATTTATCTTTTTTTTTATCTGTATTCATTTATATACTTATTTATAATTTAAAAATTTATCATGTTTTTGTACGTATCTATGTGCATAGTGATATTGTATGTCGGCATAGATTCACAGCAGCTGTAGCCCGGCGCCTCCTTGGGTGCCGGCATATGTACATGAACCACCGCAGGTGGTACGACACTTTCCAGTGTCGACAAGCCTGGTGGCAGACCAGGTTTAAAGACGTTTCGGAGGGGAAACATGTCTCACTGCCCAATCCCAAAGAAAAGTTCTGTGGCACGGGTTGTCAATGGGCATCAGCATGGGTCAAAAAAATGACCAAAATTCTTGGCCCACTAAAAAGAAAACGGTTGACCAAAAACGCTTGCCGCTTGCCAGCAAGAATGACTATGCCCCCACAGTCTCCACAGGCAGGCTCCGCCTGGAATAGAATCAGACCTCAGCATGGTGAAGCTGCCCTGCGTCTGGCCCTTCAGCAATCAAGAACGGGCTTAGTAGAAGATGATAGAGGTCTGCTGCGGTCTGCTTTGAACATAATTTGCCTCACTGCGATATGAACTCTGCAATGTCTACAACCAACCTGGGAATGAAATCTGCTGCGCATCCATCATCCCCAAGATAGCTATGGTCCACACCTTGGGATGCTCGAAGGCATGGGTATGGAACGCAAAGACCTCAAACGCCAAGTCTGTCCCATTGCACGTCCCGTTGCACGTCCTGCCCAATTGCCCACCCTGGCAGGAACAGCCAAGCGGCAGCAGAAGGAGTTCTGCGAAGTATGGTGCTTTCTTGTGCTGAAAAGCGCTTGGGCCAAAGACCGGCGGACCACACATGTTCGGTCCAAATTATATCATGATTATCATGCAGTAGCTCCAAACTGAGAACTGATGAGAGGGCCCAACCATTGATGCCTACCTGAATAGTCCTGTATCCAACATTGATGCCATCCCAGAACAGTCGATTGGTTTCCCTCATGGCCAGGCTCGGCACGGACGATGTTCACCTTGCTCCAGGACAATGTTTGCGTCAACGGTTGTAATCACATGTCCATCGCCATGTTAGACACTGTATAATCTGTATATAGATGCTATGGGACCATGGGCATGGGATCCGTTTGTTGATGGGCCCCTGGCACTTCCATCGGCTCCTGTTATTAAAAAACATTAGAAACACTGACTGACAATTGTGACAACAGAAGACACTCTCCTCATTGAAAATGCGGGGGTCTGAGGCATTGCCGGGCGACATTGCCCAAAGGTAATCTCATGGGTCAATCCCCAGACAAGTCAATGCACAAAGTCATATGCACTGAGATCTGAGCTATAGCAAAGGTATGATCCGCTCCACAACACACTCTCTGCCTCAGCATAGCATGGCAGCCGGCAAAGCCGAGGTCTGCTGCAGCTAAAAATGCTAAAAACTGCACAGAGGTCCGGACACCACCAGCTGCCCGGCTCGATCCATTGGAAATTTTACCTGCAGCGGCTGTCAAATCCATCTCTCCCTGTACATGTACGCCAGTGTAGAAAAAAATTGAGAAAATGATCATTCTTCATTCTTCATGGTCTTGTTGTAAGGCCATGTTTACGGACCCACGTGCAACTGACAGTGTTCCATCAAGACATAAAAATCATAAAAGCAAAACATCCCCAGTTGGGCAGCGCTCGCAGCTCCTCTAGACTTTTTTCGAGGAACAATGTGCCACGCAATCAGGATTTGCCATGAAGGTTCACACCCGTCGAGGTCACTGAGATTCAGAGCCCTCTGTCGCCTTTGTTTCCAGAAAGCCCCATGGATTGTGTCCGCCCCAGCCACCGCCGCCCCAGCCACGGCCGCCAAAGCCACGGCCGCCAAAGCCACGGCCGCCCCAGCCACGTCCGCCAAAGCCACGACCGCCCCAGCCACGGCCGCCCCAGCCACGGCCGCCAAAGCCACGACGGCCCCAGCCACGTCCACCGCCCCAGCCGCGACGGCCACCACCCCAACCGCGACGGCCCCAGGTACCTGTCTCTTTCGTGGCATCCGCCACAGTCGAATCCTTGGACATAGAGGCCCTAAAGGCTGGTCAACCAATGGTCTGGCTCGAGATATATAACTATCATGTCAATACAAAGCCCCTGTATACCAACAGGATTCCACAGGGCATGGCAAAAGTTGGAGTAGCTGGGTAGAGAAAAGTTCATGCTGCCAAGACACCTTCTTAACCTGCAAAAGCTCCAAGGATTCCTCTGGACCCTCCTTGCCCACCGCCAGGGCGAAATCACGTGCCTCAATTGCCAGCTCATCCTTGCACAAATCCGGCGCGCTGCATGTCGCCACATCGGCCAGCAGGGGGCGCACCAGCAGGAGCATAAAGAACTTCACTGAAACCATGGTGCAAAGCCTTGAAACACTGAGCTTGGGCTCAGGTACGGTAGATAGAAAGATGCTGCAGCTTGGGGTTTCTAGCTTGAGCAGCTCAGACTGAGGTGAAGTGTAGACTAGTGACATCTAGTGACTAGTGTTGGTGATTTTGGGTTTTGAAACTGCAAAATGCAACACGGCCTGAACAAGACCAAATCATCCAAATCATTTCCAGACGCTCGTCACCTCTTCTTACGGGAAAATCTTGTCCCAAGACGGATGAAAAAGCCCTTGCAAACAGTACTGTATTCATACATATATAGATACAGAGAGAGAGAGAGAGTTGTTAGACACATTTGTTCGCCACCAAAGTCACGTGTCTCTGATTCGAACAGAAGTCTTTGTACAGGCTTCATGCAGCAGTTCGGACCCTTCCACTAAGCTTCAGTACACTCTTCAAACTGAGAAGGCCCCACATCCTTGTGCAAGTGGATATACCACTGACGAAGCTCCTCGATCTTTTGACAAGTGGCCCGCTTCACCGCTTCACTAAAGCGTCAGCTCTTTCTGTAAAGGAGTCACAATCCATCCAGCCATCCTTCTCAGTGCAACTGTAACATCACCAAGTCATCATCTCAGCAGACAGCAGTAGCGCCACACGTCACCACATCGGCCGGAGGCACACCAGCAGAAGCACGAAGAACTTCACGGAGACCAGCATACGTGTGCTTTAAAGCCAGCGCACCCAACAGCCTGCAGCATAGGGATTCTAGCTTGAGCAGCTCAGACTGAAATCATCTGAAGCAACAGGGACGCTGGGCGAAGCTTTCTCGAAGCTTCACTTCAAAATGCTCGTGAAAAGAAAACCACGCCAACAAACAAAGAACTGCTCGCTCTACTTTCCAAAGCAAAATGCACCAAAAAAGGGTGCCGGACCATTCATGAGTCAACCACTCACATTGCTAAGATCAACCTCAGATTTTTCCCGGCAAATGTGACACAAGAACATTCCCGCTGCCACTTTGTGCTGCAGATGCGTCACAATACTCCAAGTTCGTCCTTGTGCAACGTCCACGGCATTGGGCCCTGCCACCCCAACCCACCCCAACCGGTTCTTCCCATACCACCCCACCCCATTTTCCACGACGCTGATGCGTGCGAAACTTGCCGCTCTTTTGTCCATGGGAATGTCCAATAGTTGCCTTTTAATTAGGCACACTCACATGCATGATACAACCTTATTACCGTGAATGTAAAACTGAATACAATAATAACAAATGTCATTTGCATGTGACAGGAGTATGAAGCCAAAACATGAAGCTGGCCTCTGACCACAAAACCCCTAGTGCATGTTCAAATCGGCCATCACATATCCATATCTTGATTGTGCTGACAGGGTCAGGGTGTTTGTTTCATTTGCAAGAGCTCAAGAGATTCCTCTGGCCCTTCCTTTCCCATCGCAACAGTGAAATCACCTGCCACTTCCTTGTGGCGCTGCAAGTCGCAAGCTGAGAACGGAAGCAGGAGCACGAAGCACTTCACAGAAATCATGGCTGCAGCTTAGCGTTTCTAGCGCAGCTCAGAAGCCAAAGATCGCACGGTTCTTTGTTTGAAACGGCAGTGTTTGTCATCAAAGAACTCACAGCTGCAGCTGCACGGCACTAAATAAAATCCAATAGAATCCAATAGAATGATCATGTCATTGATGAATTGTATATGTCAACATAATATAACTATATATCCAATAGAATGAACTGAATGAACACACTCTATTTCAAAAACAGACCCTCCACTGGATCATCCCAACCCCCACTTGGCGTTGCGCCTCAGCAGGCTGTGGAAGGTCATCATCTTTGGACCTCAAAAATTGCCATTGGCGACTAGTGATTTGGGAATGGGGGGCTCGGAAGGGGATGCAACTGGTGATACATCATCTGGAATTTGGGACAGTCATCCCTTCCATAGCTGTCTTTGGATTCTTTGGATTCTTTGGATTCTTTGGGTTCTTTGAGTTCAGGGGAAAGCCGAGATGCGTGGGAACCCACCATCTTCCCCACCGTTTTGTCTCTGCAGAGCTTCACTTTTTCCGCCTCCAGGCCAGCACTCCTCAGCCTCCAGGCCGGGCTCTGACGACTCGAGTCTGTGTCGAGTCGGGAGCGACACTTCACCTGAATTACCTTTGGGATTACCATGTTCATCCATGTTCATCCATTTTCTATTTCTATCATTTTCTATCATCTCATCTCAGTGGAAAACCATCATCCTCCGAGTCTGAAGGTTCTGGTTCCAAGGTATGGGCCAAATGCTGTACCAGGCGCTTCTTTTCCTCAGAAAGCTGCAGTTTTCCCGCCACCGGAAAGAGATAGAAAGAGGAAAACAAAGATTTTGGAGAGATCCGCACCCGAAACCCTGCAAACCAAGGCCTGACTGGAAAGTACTGAGCACTAATAAACTTCGATTCAGCTAGTTCAACTGGAAGCGTCTCAAGCCACAGGCGGGTCTTGGTCAAACTCGGAGTCTCATCAGACAGCTAATTCAAAAATTGCAATCTGTAATCTATGGAGCAACCAGCATCCCAAGGCTATCCAGAATTGGTTTAACCAAAATGTGACCGGATACCTCCGTACCTACGCTTGACTTCGAAGACAGAACATCTTGGTGTCCTGACTCACCCCAAACAAAACAATGGAGTGAAGCATCTTCCAAGACATCAAACTCCTTCTGCAAGGCCTCCAAGGCTTTGGCGCTCTTGGGCCCTCGGGCCGCCTCACGGCTCCCGTTCCGTGGGGGCGGCTGAAAGCTGGAGACTGCAGCCACGCCCTGAGTGGCAGCTGCGGCCACGCGCTCCAACATCTGCAGCTTGTCAGCCAAGGCGGCCAACTCACTACCGAAGATAGCAGCATCTGCCAAGGGGATGCAAGGAACGTTCCAGGTGGACTGTGGCGGAATGCTGATGTGGGGCTAATGGACATTTCGCTTTTCTATCTGCGGTGGTTATGGTGACTATAGTTTCTTTCCTGTGACTAACACTTGGCCACATGGAACTGTATGGTGAAGATTTGATGGATGCTTCAAACTTCCCCATGTGTGCTTATTTACCTGCTCTAACCATAGCCATGCGTCAAAAACCCTGCCATGGTGAACATCTAATCCGCCGGCCTGCCGGCGTGTCTTGTGGATCTTGCTTGTTCGCAATTGTGCTGTCTGTTTTGTCTTTGTCTTTGTCTAGGCTTTCCCCTTGGCGCGGGTTTTTGCGTCGTCCAACTTCATTCCCCCCTCTCCCCCCTCCTCCCCTCGTGGCGTAGCTCTTCTTCATCTCCGTTTCGTTTTAATCTTGGTTACGTTGTGCTGGGCTCAACTCTGCCCACGCCTCGCTCAACACCGGCTTGGTTTTGAACATTTTGCTGTCATTTCCATGGTTGTAGTTGTTTCCGCCTTTTTTGTTGTGTTTGCCGTCAGTTTGCTCCATTGTTTGTTTTATCCAATACTTGATCCATTGTGCCGAACACCCTTTACACGCACCATATATTTGGCCTTTTCCAAAACCCTGTTTACACACATGCTTTGGTTTAAACTTAAACCCTGGTTTGAACAAAAGCCATGTTTTGCGTCAAAACCGTGTTTTACACAAAGAGCTGTTTTACACAAAAACTGTGTTGTACACGAACACCGTGTTTTACACAAAAACAATGTTCTTGCTGGGCCTGTGCAAGCGCTGTTTGCGGCTTGCAGGATATATAGCTCTTTCCATGGTGGCCCGCGGAACGCCGAAGGCGCAAAAAAATGAGCCGCCATATGGAGGCGGCTAACCACCCCAAACCAAATGTAAATCACACGTCTTGAACCAAGGCGCCATCATCTTTCGCCTCCTCCTCCACCGGCGCTGGTGCCGCTGTGCTGCGGCTCGGAGCCGCAGGAACCATGGAAGCCGCCATGGCCGCCATGGGCAGGTTGGAAGGGACCCTTGGTGGCACGTCACCAGCCTTGGTCTCGATGACCTGCTTGGGATTTATCTCTGGGGTCTGCGGCTCCTCCTGGGCCATGCTGGATTGCTGGTGATTTTGGGTCAAAATGGTTCAAAATCTATTCCACTTTTGAGCAGAAAACACGAAAAGAGTGGCACGCAAAATAAGCTTGTCCTGCAGCATACCCACCCGCAGCCCTGGGCCTCCGCAGTCTCTTGGGCGCTAGTCTCATCAGCCTGTTGTGAGAGACGTTCCACCAACTTGAGCAGCCCCGAGATGGTGTGCTGCTTCGACTTCAACTCGTTCCTGAGACCCGTTGTCTTTGGGCTGAAAGGCAGTGGCGATGGCTGGAATTCGGAATACAAACCAAATCTCAGCAGCCTCCTTTGCATCAAAAATGGAAGGCAAAAAAAACTCTCTCTGAAACCGTTCGACACCATTGTTTGTACTGTGTGTTTTAAAGCCATGGGTGTTTTGTCGAACAGCAAGGACAACTCTTTTTGTTGCCAATAGCACCTGAATCCTGACACCTCCAGAGCTTCTTGATCCACACCGTCTCTGATAAATCGAGGCATATGGCTCCAGTGAAATCCATGGAAGTTCAAAACGCAATTCATGATAGTACCTAACACCACTGGCACCACCACAACAGCAGCAGCTCATCCTTTCCAGTCAGGGCCCCATGTCTCAAGCCCAACGCACCGGGTCCAGACAAACATAGCAAAATAAAAATTAAAAAAAATGACAAACCCATGCAGTATTTAATACTGTTGGTTGTGGAACCTATCGCAGAATATCCATTAAAATCGCGTTCCTATCTACATGTATCTGTACGCTATGTGTACCATACATATATATATATATATAAGTAGATACATTATGCGTACTATACATATGTATGTATGTACGTACGTACGTATGTCTGTCATGTCATGTCATGTCATGTCATGCAATGCAATGCAATGTACTGTTATGTAATGTAATGTAATGTAATGTAATGTATGTATGTATGTATCTCATTTTATTTTATATCATTACTTTATATACATATATCTGTGTGTGTGTGTTCCATCAATTGTCATGAATTGTCACCTGTCTGCTTCAATAGCTATTCCAGGAACCTTCCCTCAAAAGTCATGCAAAAAATATTCAACATAGAAAGAGTGGTGTCCACTCCCCTGCAGTGAAACCATGTAAAACCGAACCGTCGTCCCAGCACATCGGAGGGGCTGCAGGCGCTTGTTCTTCCGCCGCAGGATGGCCACCTCACGGAACTGCAGGTGCTCGTCGCTCTCCCGGGAGGTGGACTCCGTCTTGATGGATTTGCTGTCCCGCAGCAGCTCCTTGGACAGACATGGCCTGGACGGTTGAAAATGGATGGAAGATCCATGGATGATGGAAGATTCCCAAGATCTGTGAATCTGGTGTCTAACTTTAAAATGGGTGTGTCGAACTGGACATGTCACGGAAAAACACGCGATTTTGCGACTGCTATTTTTGGCGGATAGTGATGGTGATGGACTTTTTTTCTGAAAAGGAAGTGGTAAAAGATGTTGGAAGTTTTGGAAGTGTGAAAAGTGGAGCATTGTTTGCTATTTGGTAGTTTCGAGGAAATTCAAAGTCATCCTAGCAGGAAATGGGTGGCAAAATCAAACCTGGAAAATGCAAACCGCATGTTCTGGACTTGCATTGTAGAGGTCAAACCCTGCAAAGTCAAGCCATTCCACATTCCCCTTTATTGGAAGTATAATTGAAACCATTCCCATGTGAAACGTTTCCAAGCTGCAATACGGGTAAGGCCGGGTAAGGGATCAAAAAAAAACACCCTTCAGATCAAACTATACGAAATTGTCTCCCTCCGTTTTGCCAAACAAAATCTCAAGCCCAGCTGCCGCAATGGTGGCATCTTTCCTTTTGATCATCTCTCGCAGCATCTGATTTTCCTGCTGCAGTCGTTCGTTCAGCTCCTCCTGGGCCTTCAACTGCGCCGTCTCGGGCGATGGGACCGGCGGGCCCTGTTGGGCCGTCTTCGCATCGCTGTCGCTGTCGCCCATCAGAAAGCGCAGGCCCTGCTGCCAGGCATCCAAATCCTGAAAAAAATGGGCGCAAATCAGTGATGAGATGATGAATTCCAGCAGCCCATGAGAAAAAACCAATACGAACATTGACATACTTGCAACCAAGTAGGAAAGCAACTGTATCACCTGCTCTCTTACTAGGTCGTGTGTGCTTTATCCAACTGGGATGTGCGTGTACAAGTGTGCACTCAATGTGGGTGTTCCTCAGAAGCTAAATGGCATGGTAAGGCAGCCTCATTTTTACAACAAAAAATGCTCTTGGTCAAGCATCCTCCTGGGATGTGCAAATTAGTTCGAAGGTCTTTGGCACGTTAGGCACACGTTGGTCGTCACGTAACCGCACTTGAAGTGCAAAGTGACCTTCACCACCTGCAGGGTTTCAGAGGGTCCAGGTGTCAAGCATCTACCTATATTCCCATATCAACCTATGGGCCCCAGTGAGTTGCTGGTGGTGGGTCCCCATGCTCCACACCTGAACCATTTCGAGGGATGTTGATCTCTTTGATGGAGCCAATGGAGCTCAAGGGCAGTCGTTTGGAGCTGCCGTTGCCTTCACATTCGCGCCAGGTCAGCGTTTGCAAATCCTGGGAGATCTGAAAAGCGCCTCGGTTCCCAAAGCTGAGAGAAAGGTCTCCGACGGAAAGTTCGATGCAGACTGAAAGTTCGACACCGGCTAATGTTGAGATCATCTGAATACGTTTCGAGATTCACGGTGATTTCGGGGCCCACTAGGTGTTCGTTTTTGCACACACTCACAGGTGTTCATCTCTGTGATCACTAGATGCTACTAGGTTTTGAAGAAAACCACCACCAACTCCAAGGACTCCAAGGAACAGATTTGAAGATCGTCTTGTCCGCCAAGGGTATTCAAGAGCAAAGGTGTCCCCTGTTGCAACTTGCGAACATGCTTCCGCAAAGCCAGAAACTCCTCATAATCTGCATCACGATTGCCCATTGCACCCTGCGACCACTAGGGGGATTTGAGATCTCAGCTGCAACATGTCGCACAAATCAAACTGCGAAGGTGATGACTTCTGAATGACTTCTGACGAGTATCCTCCATGGATCCTGCCCTCCTGCTGAGGCCCCACACGTCTCCCCATGGCCTCAAGCCGTGGATAGTGCCCCCATGACTTGGGCACAGGTTGTTTGGGAGGGAGCACCCCAAGGCAGCAGACGTTTTTTGAGAAATAAAAACTCCCCTAGATGAAATGATCTGGCGGAATACAACATCCGCAACTAAGAAGAGCAGCCGGGTCTCGAGGATTTTTTTTTCCTCTCCACGCTTGCAATCGCACATAATCGCAGTACACTGAACCAGGTTTCTCAAAGTAAACACCCACCTTGGATGTCCAATCTAAAATCTAAACCAGCACGTTTGTGGTGGGACATGGGGCCGCTGCAACCACAAGGGCAATGGGACCTAGAATACCTAAAGCCTTGGAGCCCGCACCCAGCTGTCCATTGGCGCCATTGCCACAGGTGAGCAATCGAGATTTCACTAGGACAGGCCTGGCAAACACATCCAAAGCTTCATGACTTCAAAGCCTTGCCCTACTGAGGCACAGTGTGACGCAAAGGGCTCCAGGCTTGGCAAGTCCAACCATGTCCAACCGTTGCAACCCTCATCTCTCAGCCCACTCCGTGCTTGGGATGATGGCCCATCAAGGTCACCAAGGTCCGAACTGTTCTGCTGCGGCCGCCGAAATCGGCCTTGGCCGCGAGGCCAAAGAATCACCCCAACTTGCTAATGTGGCTGCGTGAGAATGGGATGCTAGAGTCTGCTAGAGAAACTGCAAATCTCGTCCACTATTCAGAGTTGAACCCTCCTATTATTGTACGTGTCCAGCGACTCCAACATGTTCAGCTACATGACTGAAAATCAAGCTGACACAGGTTGGACTATACTGATAAACCCGTGCTCAACCAGTTGACGGGGACGGGGGTGCACAGGTCCTTCATGCAAACGGTTTGAGCTGAGTTCCCATCTCCAGGGCTTCCAAGATGGCAGAGTGGTTGCTACCACATGCCACTTCAACGACGTGTCGCGACCTCTGGCAGCTCTTACCGTCTGAATTTGAGAGCCCAAAGGCCCAAAACTCGTTCTTGATTTGTGTCCCT